GGAAGGGGACCCATCCCTGTTCGGGGGAGCATACCTTACGGCCCCTGGGCGTTATGCATACGGCCCCTGGTGACGACAGAATTCGAAACGCTGCGAAGTCGCGCGCAGGCGGCGGAAGAGGTTCTTTGAGTCTTTTCTTTTTGAAGCGCTCGTGCAGAGCACACGAGGAGGAAAAAATACTTGTTCCCGATCCTAACGCGTCCAAACACTAGTGAGCTGGTGATTTTGTGGTAATCCATCTGCACGAAGTTTTTTGAGGTTAAGTTGGCCAATATCAACGTGTTTGTGCACTAAAAAGCAAGGGTGTCTGGGAGCACAGTTTGTATGCCACAACAGCAACACTCACTACTACCCTAATAGTAGTAGCGAATGTTTTTGTAGATAGTGATGTCAATCTCAACAATAAGGCGGCAAGTGAAGAATGTTGCGTACAACTTCTCAGATGCCCAGGTTAAAGTCAGAGAGGCTACATGGTGGGTTGTGTTTTCCTCTTATTGCGTGCTTGCTATGCTATGTGTTATTATGAAGTTCAGGGCTTGTTCAGTGAAGATATCTGAGATAATTCAAGATTTATTTGTTTTAGTAATGATCCATGGGGCCCATCGACGGCCCTTATGTCGGAAATATCTGATCTCACCAATAATCCAATGGGAAGTTGTAACTTTCTTAGCCGTTGTTAATCACGTTGCTTTTTCCATGGTTTTCTTCTTCTTAATGTTTGTGTTGTATTTTAGGCTTTTACTGAAGTAATGTCCATAATTTGGAAAAGGTTGAACGATTCTGGGAAGAACTGGCGTCACGTGTACAAGAGTCTTGTGCTTCTTGATTTCCTCATAAAATGCGGTAATGATAAGGTGCGTTATCATGTTCCGTTCACATTGTAGTTTGAATGACAACCATTCCTTTATTATATCATTCCAAAAGGCCAAAGTTGAAATTCTTTGTCGGTGTCGTTCTCTGGAATTGCTCAGATTGGCTTAATGATGTGCAGCTTCTATTGTTCATTACCATAGTTAAAGGCACAGTTCACGATAATTGTGGGTAATTCGGATTATGATGAAAAATGGAAGATAAGGTCGAAAATAGTGCGATAAAGGCGGAGAAACTGCGGGAATCGGTGTCTCGAAAGTGAAAAAAGGCTTTAAAGAACTGTTAAACAGGGGGCTGGACGAGAATGAGACCAGAAAAATGAAGAAGAGTGGGGCGTTCGGCCGAGCTATACAATGTGTCTCACTACGTACGTGTAAGTCCTGGTACGAATAACAGACTAGTGATCAAAAAAACCCTAGTAACGGCAAAAATAGCTCACCTTTTTCAGCCTCTGCGGGTGAGAAATTGAGTAATAGATCGGGGCACCAAAATGAATAACAGGGGAAAAAAGAATGGGAGAAAAAAAAGCCTCATCACTCTGCGACCAGCTGATTGTGTGTGGGTCCTAGAACGAATAGTTGCAGTCTGCATTGTCTCGAGACTCGTCCGACGTGATGATGTGACATCGATCGAGAGACAGGAAAGCCATTGACGTTCCCGCCCATTGAATTATCGTGAGCTGTGCCTTTAAGCAGATTAAGCCCCAGCACTTCGGCTTATTTCATGGATGACTCCCAAAAAAGGGAGCACTGCTGAAACTGAGCAGTGAAACAGTTATTACAATGGACATGACACTTTAGGAACTGCTTTAGCTTGGTCAACATTTAAGCGGAGAACTTTTACGACAATAAGCATTAACATCGAGATTTGACTTCATCAATCAAGCGCAATCATCAGTTGAAATGTATCTGATAAAAAACAGCGTTACCCGGGTTATTGCCCAAGGCCCCTTTTTGGTGCGTCGTATATGTGACGGGTAAGAACTTGCGTATTAAAATAGGGTTGTACCATGCTGGATTACAGTAAGAGCCGAGTGTCGTACTGAATTTCCGTTTCTCTCTACATTTTCACCGCGCTAATCGAATTTCTTTGTTTGTATTTTATATTAAAGGCACCGTTCACGATGAAAAGGTTACTGAGTTGTTCCTTTAGGAATACTCAGCGCCCCCCCCCCCCCCCCCCC